GTAATTCCCCTTCTCCTTTGGTAAAAATATTCATGGGATATTTAATTTCCATGTGAACTAATACCAGAAACTGGCATGGGAGAATTTAGAGATATCCCAAAGTAGCTCTATGACGTACATACCTGAGAGATCTCTGAAGCTGTACTGCTGCTTTTAACGTTAAGAGAATCGCGGTGGGTCACCTGCAGAGAAGCATTGCTGAGGGAAATGGCATCTCCTTCACTCATTGTATTTAAAGGCTGCTGAGTAAAAGCATCGACCTCTGATTTACTGATTACTGCCAAAGTCAAAAACTTTTGATAGTCTTCATCTTTACATACTGGATGGTGGGGAAACATCTATAAATAAAAGATTGTAACCCTTTTCATTTCACCTAGCATAAACCACAAACAATGGTAGCAAAAGGCTGGCCTCCACTTTCATTTTTCTAACACACCAACAAACAAGCAAGCAGTGATCAAACTGTCTGTGTACTGGTTATTAACAGGGTTGTGGCAACCATGTTGGTCCCAGGATATGAGAGAGACAAGGTGGGTGAGGTAATATCTTTTATTGGACCAACTTCTGTTGGTGAAGTTTGAAAGCTTGTCTCTTCCAACAACAGAAATTGGTCCAATAAAAGATCTCACCCACCTTGTCTTTTGTATTGAATATTAAGACATTATTATGACATATGTAGAGAAATGTGATCTAGTGAGGACTGAAAATTGGGAAATCCATTGGGTTCGGTTGGAGTTTTGTCGGAGTAAAGAAAGATTTTATAATATTATATACACCCGTATATATAAGACAGAGACCACATAATCTACACTACATACTACATAATGGGTATATGAGTGTGTATATATATCTGCCTTTATAGAGTAGCAATCTTTACTCAGAGAAAGCTTCAATTGAAGCCTGTGAAATTCCTGCGCCCGATATATATATTCTGCCAAGTAAACTCTTCTTGAAAGTAGTGAGTAGTTATTCCTAATAAGGAAGGGTAAAAGGACTTCTGGGAGTGATAGTACTACTGATTTATGTAACCTATGTATGAGAATTCTGTAATTCAGACCTGCCATGGCCTCCAGAATAGAAGGCCCCTGCTTGTCCATCTATCATGGTGATTGGAGTATCAGTGATTGGGGTATCAGTTTAGAATAAGGGACAAGCAGAAGAGCATATGGAGCCACAGTGGTGGTATTGGTCAGACTCTTCTGCCATAAACAGGACTGTGTGCTCACTATGTTCACAGCGGAGAAGTAAGGGCCTGATCCAACTCCTAGTAAAAGATTTTCAGATCTAAGGCAGAATCCACTGATCCAGGTCTCCTACTCTGAGGAAGCCCTAGTATTTTTGATAGCATGACATGACATGACAAAGTACGCTTTCAATTTAAAATAAACTGTAACAAAATAAGGATGACTTTATAAATATTTGTGTTCATCTTTTTTTTTAAATCACCAGAGTTTAGTATTAGCGATGGATGAACTGGTTTGCATTAAAAAGGTCTGGGATTAAATCCTGGCCTTATTGAAGTCAATGGGAATTTTGCCATTGATTTCAATGGAGCCAGGATTTCACACAGTTCTTAGAGCAGAGGTGGGCAAACTATGGCTCGCGGGCCACATCCAGCCCACGGGACCCTCCTGCCCGGCCCCTGAGCTCCTGCCCCAGGATGCTAGCCCCCAGCCCCTGCCCTGCTGCTCCCCCTCCCCCGCAGCCTCAGCTCACTGCACTGCCGGCACAATGCTCTGGGTGGCGGGGCTGCAAGCTCTTGCTGGGCAGCGCAGCTGTAGAGCTGTGGCCTGACCCGTTGCTCTGTGCTGCGTGGTGGCATGGATGGCTATAGCACCAGGACAGGCAGCCCTGTCACCTGGCTCTGGGTGGCGCGGCTGTAGCGCTGCCAGCCACCGGTGCTCCAAGCAGCACGGTAAGGGGGCAGGGAGTGGGGGGGTTGGATAGAGGGCAGGGGAGTTTGGGGTGGTGGTCGGGGGTGGGGATGTGGATAGGGGTCGGGGCGGTCAAAGGGTGGTGAACAGGGGGATTGAATGGGGGCAGGGGTCCTGGGGGGCAGTCAGGAATGAGAGGAGGGGTCGGATGGGACAGCGGGGGGCAGTCAGGGGACAGGGAGTGGGGGGTGGTGGATGGAGCTGGCGGGGGTTGGATGGGGCAGGAGTCCCAGGGGGGCTGTCAGGGGACGAGAAGCAGGGGGGACTAGATAGGGCTGGGCCACGCCTGGCTGTTTGGGGAGGCACAGCCTCCACTAACCGGCCCTCCATACAATTTCGGAAACCCGATGTGGCCCTCAGGCCAAAAAGTTTGCCTGTCCCTGTCTTAGACCAAACCTCTCCCTGACCAATTTTCATGCACCTTTACACTTGCTGGTCCTGGTTGGATCAGAGGCATATAAGCCAAAATAACATAAGAAAAGGCAATTTTCACAGTATTTCTAGAAAGACTGAAAATAGACTTATCAGAATTTTTGTGAGAGAGCCTGATTTTTGCAAACCAAAATAGTTCAAATATTTCAGAAAAGCATTTGAACTTTGGAGCATTTCACTGATCCAAACCTCCCTAAGGTTAATACAGGGGTTCTCAAACTTTTGTACTGGTGACCCCTTTCACATATTTCAGAGTAGCAGCCGTGTTAGTCTGTATCCGCAAAAAGAAGAATAGGAGTACTTGTGGCACCTTAGAGACTAACAAA